CAAAGAAGAAACGACTGGTCGACGCGTCTCGTCATAGGCGTGGACGTTTTAATTACAAAGAAGAATAAGATACTCTGCGCTCTTTCTTTCTTGTTCCAACAACGGAATCAACGTCAATCAAGGAACTTCGTAACACGTTCAAGGAACACAACCCTCTTCGGTTTAATTAAACCGTGCTAGCACGATCAGTAATCAGTACGGTCAGTGATTATATGAAAATTACACAAAGAAACTAATCGCTTCATTTTGTGTCTATATTTTCAACAAATTTTTACAATTAAATTTTGTAGAAAAAAAAAAACAACGAACTTGTAGTAATTAAGATATATTCGCTTTTCAAACAAACTTTGAACTTTATTTAGGTAAATGAAATGCATATAAATTCTGCATATGAACAGTATAACATTTATTTTTATATTTTTTCATAGATAGTCAGTTTAAAAAATATTTTAAAAAACATATTTAAATGTGTATTAAAATAACCTGTATATATAGATCTATCTATTGCGAAATTAAAAATCTGTATTAATATAAAGATAACTATGTGTTTTAATATTCATGTACATATTAAAAATTCCTATTTCGAGTCCATTCAAGTGCATGGATGAATAGATGAATGGAGAATACACAGAAAGAGGGATGAAGGATATATTATAACTCGAAAAAGATCTACTACATGTGGATCTTAATGTTGATATTTTTCTCAGAATTAAACAAATTCTTTCTCTTTACATTTCTTCTATGAAAATGAAATACGAATCGAATCATTTTTTCTTAAAAAAATTTTTGATTAAAATTCATTATCATGATAAAAATTTTATAATATATACGATGAATATTTAACTTGGAATATATTAAAAATGATTTTAATATAACAAACTCGAATTTTTTTTTTTTTTTATTCACTATTAAAGTCAGGAATAAAATTAAATCGAATGAATCGAAAGAAATCTCCGTAATTATCCATATTTTACGAAGCTAAACTTTGCTAAAATAGTAGTTGTCTGCAACACGTCAGACGGAAAAGAAAATCAGCCATGGGAATTCAATTAATTCTTCTCGACATTCGTTCACTCGTTAAAATGCACGAACGATTGCAACCACTTTTAGAAATCCTTTTTCCGCCGTCACCTTCCTTTTTACCAATTCGAAAGTAACCGTTCAGTTCGTTCCTTTATTTAAGGTCTATTGATATTCGATATTTAAAGAAAGAAAAGTAAGGGGAGGCGAGAGGAGAGAACGATTTGCGACAGGAAAATAAAAGAAATAAAATTTGGATAAACGGTGAATCGTTGAAATTCTCACCATGGTTGGTACAGTCGTATGCAAATGCACGTCATACGTCATCAATATGCATCCAGGAAGTTAAATTATTCCGTGGATGAAACGGTACACGCGATGATTCCTAACCAAGTTGAATGGGATCATTCATTGATTTAACGGGTTACAAAGTTATTAATGCTATTTTGTGTATCGCGTTATGCTTTATAATGTACAACTGAGAGATTGTTTTGTTTGTGTAAAGGTAAATAATAGAATTATATCGTTGTTCGATATAGTGGATATCGAACTTGTCTGTTCTCGCTTATCGTGTTTCTCAATAATGTATATTTTCATAAATAAAACTATTTGAAAATTTAATTCGCGATTTTGAAACTTTTATTAATTTTATTTATGATTTTTCTATAATTTCTTCTAACGAAATAAACAACAAAAATGAAACTTTTCCACTTATAAATTCATTTATCTATCCATCTATTTTTGATAGTTTTCTGATTTCTAAAATAAAATTTTATCATTTATTTTTGTATTCATTAACTATTGAACAACTCCATCTATTTATAACAAAAGATATTTCTTTCATGGTTTTCCTTATTTCTCTAAACTTCGCCTCGTATTTTAAAAAAACTACTATTTTTATACCTTTTCACTTAAACAAAGATAAGCTAAATTCATAAATGGAAACTACAGAAACTCAGAATATAATATTAGATTAATACTAAAGTGGGGAGATGTTGATCTTAATCAAGGAAACAGGTGAAACATCCATATTATTCAACTAAACATTCGACTGTACTTGTACTATAGCACCATTGTTAGACTTATTATAAATCTAAAATTAGAAAATATCTTAAAACTATTTTACATTAATATTTTATACATTATTTAATTTTATACTAACTTTATACATAATTAAACTTTTAAGTTTAATCTTTCAAACTAAAATTTCTCTCAATAGAAATTTAGACTCGTCCAATGAAAAAATAGTATAAATGTATTCTCTACAAACAAATTAAATTTAAATTTATCTACTATCTCTCTGAATTTTTTCAAATTATGAATTTTACTATTGTTATTACTAATTTTTTATATCAATTCTCACACGATTACTTCTCGATTAAAAAGTTAAATAATTTCCTTAAATTTCACATTTCTTCGAATTAGACATCGAGAGAGCAGGAATTAGGAGTTAAAATCAAGCAAAACAAGCGGAAATTAATCCAGTCAACCTCGAAACAACGCGTATCTCGGTAGTTACGTAGTTGTAACTCCGGTGGCAGAAATCTTCAACATCGATCATATCGCGAAACGGGCTTTCAGGATCGTATACGGTTCAAAGGCAGGTGGATCCGTAAGGAATGTGTCAAAAGCCCCAGGCCAGGGCCACGGTTAAGCGGTTTCTACCTTCGTAAACGTATATGATAGATGGCACGCGTTACGTCCATGCATTGAATAGCGAATTAAATTCTGCTTGCTTCACAAATTTACCCTTCCGCGGTTTATCTGCATCAGACACCTGTCATCCATAGTATTCACTTTGCCTATGTGCGTTACACGCCACGCATTCCACGTGTGAAATGTCGATAATGAGGTTTCGTGTTGACGAAAGGAAAGATCGAATGCTGTGCATCTCTGTGTATCGTGTTATAACTCATATTATGTTTCAATAAGAAATGATTATTTATAATATTTTTTAAAATTGTTAAAAAAAATGGTTTTTATCGTATCTTTTATGGAACAGGCTGATTTGGAATGATATTCTTCAGAATTATTTAAAAAGAAATTATAATGAAATTGTAAAAGAGAGAAGAAAGGAAATCTTTTATTTGGGATTTGTTGGTGGAGTCATTAGTAACGCCATCTAGCAGAGTCGTTCCTTAGACATCGTATATAAAACTTGAGTCAGAGAATTTAATGATTAATTCATTATTGTATCAATCGTAATGGAATTGATATTGCGATGATATTGATCGATATTGCCAAAATTTGACAATATTATTAGAATATTGTTTAATTTTTAATTCGTACAGTTATAAATTCTAAGTTAAATAAAATTATTATTTAAGAAATTGATTCAAATATTAAAAACGAGGCATGGAATAATTTTATTCGAGCATTGATAGATGAAAAATATTATCGTACAAAATAAATAATAGACTAATAGAATATTTCGAAATTAAATAATAAATAGGATATTTGTTAAACGAAATTCACGAATCTTTTTGACAAATATTATTTTTTTAATACTATATGTTAACAATTTTATCTTCTTTAATGTAACAATACGAAAAATAAAAAAATTAAAATAACAGATGGAACGTAGATGTTCGAAAGGAAAAAGAGACCGATATATTGTGTCGTAAAAATTTATTGTTAGTGATACGTATCGTAAAAAATACTGTACGTTTGCGATTTTATTTAACATTTAAACAAAAAGCCAATAAAATCATGTCCTATAAATTTTTAACCGTATCACGATTCGTAACCAATTCATGAACAATATTTCATAAGCAAACCTTAAAAAATTACACGTATAGATATTTTATATGTAAATAATTAAAAATAAAATTTGAAAATACATTTTCGAGGTTTAAAAACGTATGAGAACATTCTAAAATCTTTTCAAAATTATTAATTATTAAACCTAATTATTTTTCCTTATATTATTTTTTATCATATTCAATTCAAAACGAATAAACTTCGAATATATTAATGGAAGATTAATATAAGTAGCAAATTTAAAGATCGAACGATTTTCGCAATTTCGATACAGATTATTATTATCAATCAGATCGAAGTTCTGGTAATTTCTCAAACCGTATATATCTAATTGTACGTAGCGAATAAAATTAATTTTCAATCGTATCTCGTATCGTATCTCTACAATTTATCACATTTAATCCGAAATTACGCTTATTAATTAACAATGATATTCAAACAAATACATGCATACAATACCAAGACCAAAAATTTAATTAACGATATATTCCCCTATCTAGAAGAGATTAATTAAAACAATTTTCTTTTTATTGAAAAACGATATTACTGAAATTAATTCATAAATATTTTATTCATTAAATAACATATTTATACCAAATATTCCACGAAAACGTTTTTCATATCCTCGTATCAAATTATTTTCTAAAATCTATTTTTTCGTGAAATTTTAATAATCCAAACAACGAAGATTACAGTTTGAAAATGATCGTCTTCAAAATTACTCTTTAAACCTAACCATTAGAGAGTGATTAAAAAGTTCCTTAGAATATAGTGCAGGGTGGTTATACGTGTTATCGGGTATTAGGATATCTAACTTAGAATGGGGAAAGGTAAAACGCAGTTATCCCTAATCATTATAATTATCCTCATAAATAAAAATGTTTCTTGGCTATACTTCTGTTTTTCCTCGCCATATCGTACTCCCTCCATTATCTAAATTTCATCTTAACTTTCCCCTTTGGAAGCTAGGGAAGTGTTTGTGTCCGGAAACTTTAGCACGCTATATTGTGCTAGAGAATATTTCTTGGAATAAAAATAAAAATAAAAATCACACAATGTTTCGTCTTCCATTTATTAATTGTTTTCTTAGTAAAAAACATATCTCGAAAAAAAATTACAATATGTGTGTACTTAGAACAGTACAAAATTACAAAAGTACAAAAATAATTTGTATAAACCAATCTATGTAAATGAATATTTAATTTTTGCAATCCTATTACTCAAAAATATTCAATTTAATTTTGCTTTTAGAATGTGAAATACACCTATTTATATTAAATATTTTATAATTGGAACAATTGATGTAGATGTTGATGGATTATTGATTATAAAAATAGAATAAGAAGAAAAAATTCAATCTAAGAAAACAAGCCTTATCTAATTTTGATTATTGAGTTCATAGTTTGATGAATTTTAATTGTATAACAAACATACAATTAATATTTTATCAATAAATTGATTATATCCAAAATCTACCGAATAAAAAATAAACAATTTCTTTCAATTCTTCTGAAAAAAAAAACTTATAAAAATCTACAAAAATACTTTTCAAAATATCAAATATATTTTGTAAAAAAATAAATAAAAAAAGTAGAAAAAAAAATACAAAAGACTAAACGCGAAATAATAATTATGTGAGTCGTTTCACGTGATCGGTCTTCTTTCGTGAACTCTTAATGAAACCTAGAAACTCCAGCTCTGCGACCGCTTGAGCAAAACGAGCTCTAAATCTCCGTTAAGGATACCATGAACCATGATAAAATTCACACGTGTTTCCGTGTGAATTATTCAAACAAGAGGCATACGATCCCGGCGAGTAACCGCCACAAGGCTACGATTTCACCATTACGAGCTATGATATGAATTTCAAACGCATCGTGGCTAGACAAATCTTCCTACTACGTTCCATTTACTCCTCGACAGTAGAGAATGTGAGAAAGTGAAAAAGGATACTGTAATTTCGGATCCACGTCCCTTTGCTCCTTTGCACTGCTTGTTGGATCCACGATAATTAAAAATGCCTGTAAGAAGTGGTCTGGTCTAGATATAATACAACTTTATATGCAAGCTAAACATTTTTATACGAGAGAGGCAGAGGATTAATCCTTAAAATCCCAAGCATCATACGTGAAAAGCCAAAGATCCGAATTTTTCTAAGTGTGCATACAAAATATTATATAAGTTCTATTAATGTGAATATTGAACAGTTAAAATAGAAAAAAAAATATTCAATTATAAAGAATCTATTATTATTAAAAATTTCTGTTTCTTTAATTTATAAACATGAAGTTTTTTAAGCTGTTTAAATATGTGAAATTGTGAGAAAAAGAGGCGAGAAAACAATTTAAAAAATTATGATATTAGTCGAATATTTTTAACGTTAAAAGTGGCAATATCTTAAAGGCAAGCGAAACTTTGTTGCTCCATTAAAAACCCGCCTTTCTATGCGAATGTGGCTTAACGCCTTACGATCTACGAATGTGGTCGACATCCGTGAAAATGGAATTCCCGAGAAATGCTCGTATCTCCGTTCATTTTTCCATTTCATGGTGCAACTCTTTCAAATAAGAAAACGTAAACGTCGAGAATTAGAGAAAAGCTTTTAAGATTTATGATTTAACATGTAATGAAAATTAATTTTAAAATGTATTATATTTTAAATAATTCGACACATATATTTAACTTTATGTAAATTCCATACGACGAAAAATAAAATAAAGAACGAAACAGAATTTGATATATTTGTATTTTTATATCTCGATGCAATAGAATAAAATACATCAATGTATGTATCTGTAAACAAATGCGTAAATTTGTATTAAAATGTTGATTTAAACTCGTACCATCATCCTATTCATAACTTTTAATAAATTTACGTTAGCACAAAGTTCATGCACTATATAATTAAAATTAATAAATGAGCCTATGAATCATAGCAGATAGTATACTAAACCAAATTACAGATAAATCTTTAGAATTCGAAATAACACAATAAACAATAGATTTTACGAAAGTTAAGTATATACTAAATCCATCAAATCATATTTTAAAGCATACTTAAAAATTATAATTAAAAATTTCACAAAAGATTCGACTATTTCAACCACAACAATCCAATAAATTATAACCAAAAATACCCGTAAATTTTTACTGTAATCTTACCTTTGGCCATTCTTTCTACAAGCCCAACTAATTCATAGATCAATCCATGTACTTTAATTCCCTTTGTCCAAAGCTCTGCGAGCCTGTGAATTTTCCAAGCGGTCGCTTAACGACCGCGAAAAAAATAAAACAAACCCCCTTAAAATACCCTCCATCGACCAAAAAGCCCATTTACAATCGCGTGAATCATTCACGCCGCGACGAGTATCGATTAAAATCAGGAAACGGACGGCATACGTGACCATAAGTATAACCGTGATTAACCTGTAAACACGAGCACGAAACGATTGTTGTTACCTGGAGCCAGTCGTACATATTGATCAGTTTCCTGGATTCCAAGTGCAGCTTGTAAATTATACTGAGGTCAGGCAGCGTGGACGGAATGGCGTCGTCGTTCTCCAATTTGCAGCACCCGCACTGAAATATGTATTTCCAATTAACTTAGGATACAGACAGGACAGGACAGGACAGGAGACATCGACAAAGTACCTTTTCCGCTATCGTGAAAAATCTACAATCGATATTTGCAACGATGGCGCGAATAGAAGGGTCGATGGCATGCCGGAAGAATCAAAAGCAACAATAAACGTGGCGTGAACGTGGAGGAAAACGGTCGTTGAAGGTCGCGAATTCAATCCCTTTTCGATGAGAAGCAATTGAATCAGGATCACGAACACTTTTGTAACGAATTATATTTCGAATGGAATGAGTGGAGGATAGATGAAAAAAGAAGAAAGAGTAAAAAAATATCGAATGCGAGGGGATGTATTCTTCCCGTGAAATGAACAAGTAATATTCCTTGATTCGAGAGAAAGTTTAATGAAAAACACATCGTGTCTTGGATTTTTTTGGAGAAATAATGAAACTTGGATTTAGATTCGCATGTATATTTTAAACGATTGAAAATTGGAATCGATGAATGTGAATTGTAATAAAATTTTGTAATTGTATTTTATGTAATTGGTTGTTGATTATTAAGATTTGAAAAAAGAGAGGATAAAATAGTATATGTACATTTATATTTCCATTCATAAATCAATGATTTTTATTTGAAAAGAAATTTGTGGAAGGATTTTAAAAATATATATTTATTAATTTCGATTTCCCTTTAATTATAAATGTAAAATGAATTGCACGTTCATAATAATAATATTATTATTACGATAATATTATAATGATTTATGAATGGAGATGTAGTTATGTATTAATCACGTCATTAATATTAGAATCCGGATGCAGTCATTTTAACTGTTTTCGTATTTTGTTTTCTTATTTCTCTTAGTTTTAATATCCTTACAATTAATGTAGCACTAGTATTTTCATATTCAACTCTTATTCTCTTACAATATTAAAATTCCATATGTTATTTAAAATGATTACAAATTCTCTTTGCCATCATTTAAAAAAATATTTGATACTTCATTATGTATAGAATTTTAAATAAAATGTGTTAATTTTATTTTCACAATTATGTATATGAAAATATGTGTACGATTACTTTTATATTTTTATATTTCATATTGATTACTCATTTTCACATTTTCATAATAAAAATTTAATAAAAATATTATTAAATATACTGAACAATATTTGTTTATAACATATGTACATAATCAACAAAATGTAATAGAGTCAAAATGACTGCAGGTTAGTAAGATTTTAGATAGAATGAAATTTCTAAAATTTTACTGTTAATAATTTCATTAAGATAACACCTTATTTTCAAAAATTATATATTCTATTCACGTTAATTAAAAGCACACCATGACCACAGCATAAAACCATAAAAAAAATATTTTCTCACTCACGTTTAAGTACACTTGTGGGTTATTTAGTCCAGTATGAATCGCAGATCTCAAAGATCCTCGAATATGTTGCTTCGCTAAATTACCATCGTTGAAACAAAATATCTCATTTCCTGGTATATAATTAGGATTAACCAAATAACGGAAAATACTTTCTGGTCCAAATAATCGATCAAATCCTGTTGTGCTATTTTATAAGGCGATTTAGAGTGTGTTTTAGACATTTTCAATAATTTCTACAATAAAATACAAAGCAAAAATAATTGATTTTTATTTTCTTCCTTTCTTCGATTTTAAAGATCATTGAACATTAATTCAAACCTCTTTCAATTGAAGTCGACTCAGTCTTTCACCCGTAGAAACAATATCTACAGGTTTTTCTGCAACTTCTAAACTCGATTCGTCAATTCTTTTTTCAAAACTCTGCAAATCTTTCTTGACTTTTATCATATCTGAATCTTTTGAACTTGCGATAATTGCTACCAAAGATTTCAATTTTGAGAGAAGTTCCTGCTTGGATAAAAAGGTCAATAATTGCAGACATTCTTTGTACTCTTGAGATTCTTTCAAATTGTTCAAATAAACCACTGTTGTGTAAAATTCACGTAACTGGAATAATTTTGTAAATTTTTCTTGAATTCTTTTGTGAGGGAAATAAGTTTTTCTTTTTCGAATTATACCTGTTTACCCATTGGTGCATTTGGTAATGTCGACACGAAATCGTACAAACATCTGAGTATTAACAAAAACCGATGCATATATTGATGGAAATTGTTTAAAACTTGGATCAATATTTCCTACAATATTGAATATAAATTTACTAAACTAGCTGTAATTCAATACTTCTTTAGTTGCAAAATATAGCAACTTTAGATTTAAAACGATTACAAATATACCTTAAATTTACTATTTTCAAGTAATTCATCTTTGTTCTCATCTTTTGTCAATTGTTGAATATGTTTTTCTATAGAGGGCAATTTTTTAATTTCATCCAAATCTTCATCTGTCAATGAAGACATCCTACTTTTTATTTTGTGCGGTTGACAACAAAGAGAATTTATATTATTTGCATAAAAATGTTGTATCATGCATATCTAAAAATTTAATAATCAATTGAAATTGTCAAAGAAACATCAAAGAAAATAAACAGAAACTTGAAAAGAAAACAAAAGACATCGATACCTTATAACTTAGAAAAAAATTCTGTACAGAAAAATCATAAAATAAAAAGATATCCGTTAATAATTGAAACGCGCGTCCAGTTAACTTAAATGGAATATTTGTACCAAAAACAGTATTTTCTAATACATCTGATAACACATCAATTTGTTTTTTTGTTTGAAATACCTGAATAAAAATCAATTATTATCTCTAATAATCCACTTATTATCAATTCTACAATTCTACGATGGATATTGCTTACTTGAACATTTAACTTTGATGTAACATCATACGTTAAAGATCTATGAATGGCAAACAAAGTGGTTGCAACACCAAAAATAAGAATAAATTTCATTGAAGTTGCATAAGCACTAAAAACAAAATATATATTCGATAACCCTAATGCACAAATCAGAAAAAAATATCCTAATATATATCCTAATAATGTATAATATCCTAATGTGAAGAATACCTTAAAATTAAAATAAAATCATGTAATACTGCAGCAGGAGTGCTTTCAAAATCAGTTAATATTATAATAAGAGGATCATTTTGATCACAATTCTCTTGGTGCCATGCTTTTAAAGCTCTCATATGACATTGATTCTTTTTAATATGTGTATCCTCATCCTATAAATACATATCCAATACATATCCTACGTATAATATATATTTTCAACATAATGTTACTTCATATTATAATACTTTATATCAAATTATATACCTCTCCATCATTTATCAATTGATAAATTGATTTTTCTGTAATATCTTTTATATTATTTGAGTCTCTGCTCCATAAAACTGCTATATGCTTTGTTTTCACTTCTAATTTAGAAACTATTCTTTGAAACATTTCTTTGTGATCAGAGACATTAACTCCTGCAATGCGATTGTTTCAAAAAATGTTCAATTGTGAAAAACTACTCTAAATATTATATATTTAATCTTATCACCTGCTAGCACAATAGCTGCCTGTATTTCATCAAGTTGTTCTATTGGTTTATTTTTGACTTTAGTAACAAAAGATTCTAAATCATTTAAAATTTCTTGGAACATATTTAATCTTACATCCTAAAATTTTTGCAAAAAATATAATATATATATAAATATAATATAATTTTGCATTACTATTACTAATACAGAATTTATTGCGACGGAATAATATAAAAGTAAAATTTTTCATCATATTTTTAATGCAAATTAGCATGCAAAAGATACCTCCATGGCATTTTGAATGCCATCCCACGTTTCTTTATAAGTAAGATACCATGGTTCATTTATATAATCTGGTTGTTCAAATTTTGTTTTTTTATTTCCAATTTTATATGCACCTTTATGTACAAAAACACCCTAAAAGTATTATAACTAGTATTTATCTTCTTTTATAAAAAATAAAAATTGTTTTAAAAGTATTTATATATGCTTTGATGAAATAGCATAAAAAAAAAAAAAGAATCGAAATGCAAAAATGTCAAGTAGTTTTTATTACAATAGAAAATCATTAGTAGAATTATATTTTTCATATAAATAATATTTTTATAAATTTAATATTCGTTTTCAAATATTATAATAATAATGATTAAATGTTTGATTTGTAAATCTTGGTTTATATTTAATTAAAATTTCAACATTAAACTCTTATACATATTATACTCATTAAATCAATTGCGCGATATATCGCGGCAAATACCGCGTTTACATTTTAAGGTTATGTAAGTAGAAGCAACAGGTGTATTTTACCTTTGATACTGATACGTTGTCCATTTTAACGATGAAATATTCTTTAAACAATATAAACTAATAAAATAAATCACTATTTTAATCATTCAAATCACTATTTTTTTACATAACTAGGATTAAAAATGTGAAACACTCCTTCCATAACAAGAACTGGATCGCAACTGTTGCTTTAGTTAGTTTCAGTAGCGCTCTTAGAGTGCGCTAGTCATCAGCGCGCTTTGTCGCCAATTTTAAATAACTTACCAACATCAATTATTTCAATCTATCAATTATTTCAAAATTACAATAATAATTTCTTTATATAATATTCCCATATTGGATTAACTAATTCCTTAAATAATTTTTATAATAAATTACATCGATTTAATTAATTATTAATAATTTAATAATTATGATAAAAAATAATAAAAAAAAAACATCAAAGAGAATGCAAAATTTGTCACGTTATAATTCAATTATGAAAAATCTGAGAAAAATTTAGTGAGTTAAATTTGACAACAACAAATAAAACGAATGAAACTCTATTACATTACATTTTAATTATTTCTGTAATATAACTTATTATAAGTTGTACATATAACGTATCCCAAATTCATATCCCGTTCAATTCAATTCCATTCCATGTACTATCAAACCAAATTCCACATATTATACTTGTATTAAAGACAATTTGAATCAACGTGTTCGTCCTACGAATCATCTATACAAACTTACAATCAACGCACTCTGTACGAGGCATAACCAGAAGCGAGGGAGGAATTTTGAAAATCGGTATGCAGTAACCCGGTGCAAGGTAATTGCGATATTCGAATTTCACGAGCGTAAGTTGCCACGATCATCATCTGAATCGCAAATGCGTCGATTGAATCCGTCGAAGCCGAGCAAACAATCCGGAAACCGAGAGTTTGATGCTATGTTTCCGTGTGGTGGAGAAGGAGGTGGTGCTCGTCGAACTTTCGTCGAATTGGAAGGGGTAGAAGCGCGCTACTTGCCCAGCGAACTTGCCTGCCAGGAACTCGTAATTGATTTAAAGAAGTGTCCAAACAAGATGCCGCGCCCCTTGCTTCCCAATGTACTGAAATATCCCACGCCGGTATGCGCCCGTGTAAACGACCGTGCAACGGGCACTGGAATCGAAATTATTCCGAGCTCCCCTCCGAGCCGCGTTTCTATAAGGTCTGTTTACCCTCCACCTTTTCCCGAAATTTAACCTACAAATAGACGGTTCGAACTGACGCCTGCATGGAATGTCATTACGAGAAGGAATATCGGATTGAATTTTTTTGCATACCTCTATGTGATTCGTCGGCGATACGTTTATACCACGTTTAACGCGAAGAAATATTTAGATTTTGAATTCTTTTTATTATTTTTTTTTTAATAAAATATGCGTCAAATTTAAAATTATTAGATTCAAAAATTTGGAATTGGTCCAGTGGTCTTTTTATATTTATTTTTTGAAATGGATCATAATAAAAAATTGGAAAATTTCTAATATCAACGAAAAATAAATCAATCCATGGCCAAATTTTGATCAACAAAATTTCTAAACGAATAAATAATTAATTTGAAATAAAATTTATTTTGTCCTTCTCCCATTTAAATTTTTGACTACACCTTTGCCAATATCTCTTCTTCTACTGGAAAAATCCTCCATTCCAAGAGAATCATTTTCTTTAACTGTCCACCGTGAAAACGAGGTTTGAGAGAGTGACAACAGTTTCGACAAGTCCCTGAACCCGATCGTTCTCGTGTTTCTTTACGTTTGATGGCGAGCTGGCCAACCATTTTATCGTCGCATCAGCAGAAACTTGTCCACCCTCTTCGACTCGGTTTCGGATCGTTTTTGTGATCCAGATTTAGTTGAACCGGCGTTCTTTTAGAGCTCTGACAGAGGCTTGATCGGAAACTTATCTAGAAATTCTTTCGTTTTGGGAAGGGAGAGATTTAATCGAAGATCACATATGCAAATATAGTCAATGATAAATGAGGAAATAAAAGGTTGAAACGTGAAGATGAATATGGTTATATAAAATACGATACGATGCATGATGTGACACGTGTAATGTCGAAAATTGTTAATAGATAGTTTATTTATTGATGGATTAATTGAGCAATTTTGGGTAAGATTAATTACAGTTTTGAAGGATTAGTAATTTTTAATTTCATATTCTCATGTATTAATTTGATATTGTACGATAAATGAAAAGAAGAGATTTTACATTTTTACATTTACATATTATATAAATTTGATATCAAGGAACAGAAAAGATCGATGATTAAAAGAAACGAGAGTTCATGCATTTCTTGTTGAAATTTAATCGTACAAAAAATCCGAATAGAATGATACGTAGAAAGATAAAAAATATTGAAAAGCAAAATACACAATGAATATTTTTTACCACGAAAAACAAAATCATGCCGATAAGATTATTCTCTTTAAAAATTGCATTTCAATTTACATATTTCGATAAAATTAATATAAAAAATCCTATTTTTAAATATCAATCAAACAGAGGTATATAATAAGGAGTAGTGAAAATTTTAATCGAAAGACCACACAGTCCCAAATATAACGGGAAAAAGTGCATAACTCATAAACGTTACTGCCGCATTCCGCCATTAATCTCTGGCGAGCGGAAACAAGAAAATCTTTGATACCGTTAAATTACACCCGTGAACAAGGCAGCAACCCGGGAGCAAATAAAAGCGGAGGCATTATTCATCGTGGGGGGGGGGGGCGACGAATCGCACGTACGACGATCGAAAAATCTAGACAAATATGTTCCATTGAACGATCAATAGGTCCCCTCCCCCCACCGCCTCTGCATCGTTTTGTCCCAGACGTCCCTTTCAACGAAGGCGGATGATTAAGTCCTCGATCGAATCCCATTTATTTTCCGGCGGGGAACCCCTTGGGGCACAGGTGCGATGGTCCCCCCCTCCTCCGACCACAAAACGAGAACATTCGTACAAAGCTGTTTGCGCGATCGATTTATATTCACTCCGCGCGAAAATTTTTCTGTGTTGGCTTGTATCCGAATAGCAATGCTGCAATTTCGCGAGATTATAAAAAGTATCAACTAGATATACTATACGTTCAAGAAAATGTTTCGAAAGTTCGAAGATCCAAGAAGATCGTTCAACGGAACAAAATTCAATCCTAAATTTTTTTACATAACCTGTTATTATTTCTAACGTACACAAATTTATAAAATTATACCAAATGTCGTAAGAAGCTAGGGATGCACCCCTCACCGATTTATCTCAACCACAGCTATGCCCCCGTGAATGTTGATCCAAGGAGATCAGCGTTTGAGAAAGGAAAACAGCTGGCAATTTAACGAACGAAACAGGACCCAATCTCCAAGCATTCGTAATGAGCGTCATTGTTGTTGCTCCCAACGCGCATCTTCCACCTCCTTTTATGCCGAGATTGAACTTTTCCCCGCAAAATGCAGAGCGTTATCTATGCTATCGTAGAACTCCAAGGTAGATACCGAGTGGAAAAAAGCTCAAAGATTACGAGGACATTCTAGCTGGTAACGAGATAATAAAGAGACCAGCTTTGTAGCTTCGCGGTGAACTCTTTACCACCCCCCCTTCTCCCATTTCCTCTCTTTTCGTTCGAGCTTTATCTTTTTCCTGGTCTTTCTTTTGGCTTCTCTTTCTTTTCTTTTTTTTTTTGTTTTCCTTTTTTCTTTTTTTTTTTTTTTATTCCAACCCATCTCTTCCGCCCTCTTGTAATTCGCGTGTGCTCGTCGCGGTTGAAAATAAAATTTTTGCGCCCGGTGACGAGCTCGGATTCGAGCTCGAGAACGATCTTTTTACGGTTTGGCTCGTGGCCGGCGATGAAAAGAGACGTAACGCGTTTGATGGATTGTACTTTGCGGGATTCTGTCCTGTTTACTCCAGTTGTTGCCGTTTTACGGCCTTTTCCTGGAAACTGTGCCTCCCTCCGCGTTTAAATGATACTGCGCTGGCGTTTAAGAGAGATTGGAAAAGGTACAAAGAATGATAAAATTATTACGATCGAAAAAAAAATTTTATATCTTATATTCTTTTCTTTTTCTGGCGATATTTTTACTTTGATATTCGATTGAAGTATATGTATATTTTGATCTTTTTTTTTTTTTTATTGTTGATAACACGCGAATGATTTGTGTAGGATATATAAATTATGTAGAATATTTTTGTTTTTTATACAATTTTACAGCAGTAATTTAAAGGATTATAAATTATTTTTATTGCAATGCTATCTGTCATACAATGACGAACGATCATTTCTTGAATTTGTTGCATATAATAATAATAATAATAATAATAATAATAATTTATGCAAAAGATTTAATTTTTCACAATTTTATTAAAGAATTGAAGAATATAGATATTAAGAAATTAGGAATTAATCATTAGAAATTCAAATCTATCTCAATTTAACAGATAATTTTAGTTTATCATTCATAAAATCATTGGAATGGATAATACCGAGCAAATAGTAATTGAAATGATTCTAAATCAGTATTAACGCAATGGTGCATGAATATTCCTCTGTTAAATTGATTTTCATCGCTAATAATTCGAGAAGTTCTATTTTGAATATTGTAATCCTAAAATGCGTTCCTCCGTTGTTCAATTCATAATGCATTTCTGCCTTTACCACGTATATCTCTCGTTATATCATAAATATATTAGAAAATTATATTGTTAAAATTTTTTATTGAAAAGAATAGAACAAGAAAAATAGAAAATATTCGTTTGCTTGTTCCAGCGAATTTCCCAAAGACGATCGAGAATCTAGGAGACTCAATCTCGTCGGAGTTAGAGGGTAATCCACCCTTGTGGGTCACCAGGAGACCAGGCACTCACGGTCAAGAAGTCTACATAAATAACGCTAAAATCCTCATAGATCGGAGCAATTTTCAATCTAAGGTTAGCGTTGGCGGCGACGTGAAGACTCAGGTAAGCCCTTTATTCGCTCAATTTTTCTTCCAATATATCCCTCAATCGTTTCAGGGGATTTAAATGAAAATATTAGAATGAAATATTCCATCTTTCGTTCTTCTACGAATCGTAAATAATCTGTAAGATCTAATTTAGATATTAGATCATTTTACGAATAATTTATACGAAAGAAGATGGAAAAGAAAAAAGAATGGAACTTTTATTATTATATTTTATTTTATATATTATTCGAGAATTGATAAAGCGTATTCCACAGATATCATGAATTTTTCTCTTT